CCCGCGCCCAGCCTGCGATCCCCAGGGCATCCCTTAGCTGCGGCCTCGAGGTAGAGGACCAGAGGAGGGGATTGCCAGAAGGCAGGAGCAAGGAGAGGAGACTGCCACAGCACCATGGGACAATGCTCGACTAGGCCGTCCCTCAGCATACGGAGAGTGGAGGACCATTGAGGGAGCGTGACAAGAGCTGTACTCATGGCGGCAGCGGCAGCGGTGATGTATAGCGACCGCACTCGTGGGCCGCTCCAGGAGTTAAGGTTAAACCAATCTGAGTAGCGCAAAACCGACATCGGCCACTTGAAAATCTGGGCCAGAAGCTGCCGCTCGATGTTAGCAACTTCCCAGGGAATCGGGACCAACTGCAGGACATACGAGGGAACACTCAACGCCCGCTGACCGTAAAGAGAGACCCCCGTTGAGAGGTCCTGCCTCACATCCGCGATCGCTCTGGTCCGAGTGGCCATCTTGTTGAGAGGAGCTCGAAGGTTGCGCAAAAGATCGACCCCAGGCCTTAGCCAGAACCCCAATTACAAAACCTCGGACGCGATTTCGAATTCCTCCCAGCAGGCCGAGCTCGGATGGATGGTGGAGGAGGAGGAGGAGGAGGAGGAGGAGGAGGGAGAGGAGGAGGAAAGAAGAGGGGAGGAGTCGAGGAGGAGAGGAGGAGGAGGAGGAGGAGAGGAGGAGGAGGAGGGCGAGGAGGAGGAGGATACGAGAGAGGAGGAGCGGAGGAGGAGGGGAGGAGGAGGAGAGGAGAGGGGAGAGGAGGGGGAGGAGGGGGGGAGTAGGAGGTAGGAGGAGGGAGGAGAGGAGGAGGGATGAGGAGGGGAGGTGAGGAGGAGGAGGAGGGAGAGGGAGGAGGGAGGAGAGAGGTAGAGGAGGAGAGGGAGGAGGAGGAGAGGCAGGAGGAGGAGTGGAGGAGGAGGAGGAGGGGGGAGAAGAAAAAGGAGGGAGGCGGAGGAGCTCGAGGAGAGGAGCCTCCGCGCGAGCCAGCCATGCCGCTCCGTGGCGGCGCGGGGCCAGACTGCCCGCACGGGCGCGCGAGCGCGTGCGCGGCTGTCGGGGAGGGTGGCGGCCGGACTCCCTTGGCTGCTGCGGCGCGTGGGGGCCCGAGCCGAAGGTGCTGCGGGCGCGCGCACGCGCACGCGAAGACACAAACACACACAACCACACAAAGAGACACACGGGGACACACGGGGACATACAGACACACATACATACATACATACACACAGACAGACAGACAGACAGACAGACAGACAGACAGACAGACAGACAGACAGACAGACAGACAGACAGACAGACAGGCATCCATCCATCCATCCATACATACATACATACAGACAGGCAGGCAGGCAGGCAGGCAGACAGACGCACAGACAGACAGACAGACACACACAGACAGACACACACACACACTCACACTCACACCACACACACACACATATTGGCGGTCGAGGACTCGTGCGCAGCGACGAGGCAGGGTAGGTCGAAGAGCGGCAGAAGCGGGCGCGCGGCTGGGCCCTCAGACGGGATCGCTTCGACCACACACACATATGCAAAACTGCGAACACAAGTGTGCGTGAGCGACGGAAGGAAAAAGGTCTTACGCATGAGCACCTATATATATATATGTACAGTACATAGCGATACGACGCCGCGGCTCACGTGGGCCGCCAGGGTGGCACGCCGCGTGAAGCAGAGGGCGCTCGCGCGCGACCGGATGCGGGAAGCTGGCGCGCGACTGTCTGCGCAATCGATCTCGTGCGCTGGCGCCGCTCAGCCACGCACACATACAGCCATCGGCCTGACCTAAGGAACGATGAATAAGGAATGAAGCCCCTTTCTTCGAAGGAATAACGCATAGGGAACAATGAACAAATAATACATAACGCGTAGGGCACGATAAATAACGCATGCAAGCCTAAGGAACGACCGAGCCCCTTTTGAAAAGTAAGCGTTCCTTATCTAAGCCGCTCACTGTACACCTCCACGCCTGCACCCCTGCGTGCCTGCGCTCGTGCTTCGTCGGCGGCGGCGTGGGGCACAAAAAATGTCGAGCAGCGACGGCGGGGACGCAGCAGAGCCCACTGCGCAGGGAATAACGAACTGAAGAGCATGACGAACCAACAACACACACCCATACCCATAGGGGGGTCGGAGAGGGCTATGGGTGCGTGTTGTCGGATGGGGCTCCCCGTTCGAGCGGGAGCGTTCCCCAGGGTCCGACAACCCGCACCCATACCCATAGCCAGTCCTCCTCCCGACGACCCCCCTATGGGTATGGGTGTGTGTTGTTCGCTCGTCAGGAGCAGGAGCGCCCAACTGCACTCTCTTTGTCGCGGACTCGGGTGTCGCAAAAATCTGACAAAAAGCTAGATTTAGGTCGGGCATGTTTTCTACTGACAGCTTTTGGGCGAAGAGCGAAAAATACTGAAAGATACCCCCAAATAGTCAAACATCGTCCAAAACATCGTCCCCAGACTTTTTTTTGTAAGATACCATTTTCGAATGCTCCTCCTGCAGAGGGGCATGCCCGACTTAAGGCCAGATAGAGGTGCGCACGGCGCGACCTTGGCACCGACGCGGGGGGGCAAAGCTCGCGGGGGCGGAGGCCTGCCGCGAAGGAGGGGCTCCTCGGAAGACGGGGGCGCTCTCGGAGGGCCCCCTGGGAGCTCTCGAGACACCTTCTGAGAAACCTGGGCGGGCGTCTGAAGTAAGGAGCCGAACTCCATATACACCTACGCTCTTTCTGGCCCCGCAGTGACATTCGCACAAGAAGACGGATCCCGGTGTACACGGGATCCTGGTGTATACATCGTTCGCTGCTTCCCCGGGAGATCGGGGACAACAGTGTACACCAGACCACCCCGACGCCGTCCCCAGCCCTCGAGAAGTCGTAGGATTGGACAACGGCCCGCCACTGGTCATATGTATATATAGATATATACACATATGCTCACCCCCCCTGTGATCGTGATCTACCTCATTGCTTCGTTACTACCGCAGTGACTATGTGAGATTGTGCCTTTCATTTTCCATATATATATATATATATATATGTTCCAGTTTCCGATGAAGAGCCCTCATGCCTTCGAAGGCCCCGCCGCCCGCCGCCTTCTAAGGATACCCTCCCCCCCCCGGAGCCGTCCCCTTCGTGGGCGCTGCCCACGCCACGGGCGACGGCATCGGCGTGCAGTCATCGTGCCGCAGAAGGCAAGGAGGAAGGGGCCCTGGGACACACAAATAGATAGACACAAACAGCAGGATTCCACATACTTTCTTATATTTTCTGGATTTTTGTCTTCCCCCCCACTTCCCATATTTTCCCCTATTTTCCTGGGGATCGACGATTAATTGTGTCTGTGTGTTTTTTCCCTCCGGACATTTGTTTTGCCCCCGCGGCCCAAGTCGAAGGAACGCCCGGAGCACCAGAGCCTCTCCTGAGCCCAAAAGGGTCCTTGCTTCTCCCAAAATGGGGTCCGAGGACATAGGGTCGGAGGATGGCGCCACATGTCCGACGCATCGCCGACGCATCGACTATGCATCGGCGCCGTCGGCGCGGAGAAAAAAATCGGGCTCCACATCGAGCCGCATACCGCTAGTTCGTGTCGTGTCGATCCCAGCGTTGGTTTCTGACGCCGCGGGGATCGTTCAACCTTTGGCGGTCGTCCATTTCCAAAATGTCAGATCGCTCAACATCGACCGATTCTCGGTCGCTGGCTGCGTTTGATGTGGATCACCAGCGGCGGAGTCGCCGTCGGCCGACACGACGCGCAAGCCTTCCGCAGCCGACGCGTCGGCGCTGCGGCGCGATCCTGCGACCCCGTCTGCTCCGGCCCCGTTCGGGAGGCCCCTTCGACAAGCAAGTCTTGTGCAGTTGTATGTTCTTCGCGGGCACACCGCGCCCGCCGCCTGAGCGGGGGCGCTGCCAGGCGCTGCTTTGGACATTCGCACTCTCCTGATGAACAAGGGCACATCAGCTGGCGGCTGCAACAGGCACTCCTGGGGCGACGCAGGAGTGGCGAGGCAGCGCCGGCCTTGACGGACCCCCAAAGGTCTGGATCCCCTTGCCCAGCGCTGGCTTTTCGTCCCGAGTCGTTCATTGACGGCCCCGAGGCCCGGAGAGGTCCCCTGGAGGCTGGAAACGGCCAAAGACCTTCCATCTTGACTTGTTCGCAACGAGACGGAGGAGGTGGTGGTTGTGGTGGTGGTGGTGATGGAGGTTATGAGTATGATGATGATGATGATGTTGATGATGGTGAAGGTTATGATGATGTTGATGATGATGATCATACTGATACTGTTGATGACGGCGGCGACGTTGGTATTGATGATGGTAATGCTGATGATAAGGAAAGGGAGATTATGATGAGGTGATGGCAACTGGACGTTCATGAGGATACAGGGACGGTGGAAACCATCATATATCATCATCACAAGCCTCATAATCATCAGGATCAGGATCATGATCACGAGCATCGTCATCATCACGACCACCATCATCATCGCATACATCCTCCACCTCCTCCTCCTCCTCATCTTTGACATCACAATCGTCTTCAAGCTTCTTCGAACTCATCCGCATCCCTATCCTCATCCTCATCATCAGCATCAGCCATCAGAATCAGCGGCATCCTCATCCTCGTCCTCTCCACCACCACCACCACCACTGCCACCACCACCACCACCGCCACCACCAGCACCGCCACCACCAGCACCAGCACCGGCACCAGCACCAGCAGCACCAGCACCGGCACCGGCACCAGCACCAGCACCAGCACCAGCACCAGCACCAGCCCCAGCATCGATAAAGACGTGCCGAGGGCTGCTGGCCATCGCTCGGACGTCCATTCCCCGTGTTTTTTTTCGGTTTCGCGCGTGGCCTTTTCGCCAAATGATCAAGGATGCTCCCCGATGGTCCTCGCCGAAGGAAAAGTGCACACGTCCGAGCGATGCCATACAAGGCTGTCTCCGACCGCGGAGGAGGCGCCCGGCGCCTCCCCCATGAGGCCGCGCTGCCCGGGCCGAGCGCCGCCCGCGCGCCCGGCCGCGGGGCCGGCGGCCGCCCGCGCCGCCCCCGCGGCCCTCCCCGCGGCGGCTGCGCGGCGCGCGGGCGGCTGCGCGCGCGCGGGCGGCCGGCGGCGGCGGCCTCCTCGTCCTCCCAGGGCGGCCTCCTCGCCCTCGCCCTCGCCCTCGTCGTCCCCCTCCTCCGTCCGCCCCCACCCCCTCCCCCCGCCCGTCTCCCTCCTCGTCCTCCGCGGGCGGCCGCGCGCGCGCGGGCGGCCGGCGGCGGCGGCGGCGGCGGCGGCGAACGGCGACGAGCGGACCCGACCTTGCTCGCGCCGTGCAGAGATCGCGACGGCAGATGCTGGGCCGTGGCCCAGCCTCCGGGGCCCTCCCTCGCTGGGCCTGGGGACGAAAAAAGGCGGCTTCGGGGAGAGGCTCGGGGCTCCCGGGGGGCCGCGCGTGCCTGGGAGTGGGGCGCGACCCCGCTCGGAGCCTGGGCCGCAGCAGCGGCAGTTCGTCCTGCTCTGAATGCCTCCCCCCGCTTCCTCCTCCTCCTCCTCCTCCTCCTTCTCCTCCTCCTCCCACTCCTCCTCCTCCTCCTCCTCCTCCTCCTCCTCCTCCTTCTCCTCCTCCTCCTCCTCCTTCCCGCTCTCTCAGCGGCCGTTCTCCTCCTCTCGCTCTTTGTCCCTGTGCACGTGCGCCATCGCGCACCCCGCCCCCGGCCGACCCGCGCCCTGCGAGCACCAGCGCTGCGATCAAAAATGTTTGGGAACGGCGACGAGGGACCGACGACGACGGCGACGAAGAAACGGCACCGACGGCGGCGGATAGGGGTTGGCGGGGTTTCTGGGTGTGTTTTTGTTTCCCCCCCTTGGGGCTCTGGGCCAGGGCGCACCATTGGAGAAGTCTGGGGGGGCCACGTTCGCCTCCAGGTCCTGGGGGGGCTCCAGGTCTTCGGTGCAGGGGCGGGGAGGAGGAAGAGGCTAGGAGGAAAAGGATGGAAAAGGAGGAGGAGGAGGAGGAGGAGGAGGAGGAGGAGGAGGAGGAGGAGGAGGAGGAGGGGGAGGAGGACCATTGGAAACCCAAGAGTCACCAACGATGATAAACACCTTCCCGCCAAAATCATTTTTTTTTCACAGGCCGCTACAATGAGTCATTTCCACTGAGGATCCGTGCCGTCCTCTTGCTTTTCGCCTTGTCCTCCGCAACTGTTGGATCCGTGCCATCCTCTTTCTCTTCGCCTTGTCCTCCGCTTCCCACCCGTCCAAGTCCCGCTCTTCGTTCTCATGTCAAAAGTCTTTCAATCCCTGTACCAGCACCCCCAAGCCAACAACATCCGAGCAACCTTCCCCTCGAGACCCTCATTGCCCGGACACGCTTCGAGAAGGTCCCAGTCCGCCATTCTCTATACGCCACCAGAGCAAAACGCAACCTCTCACATTGGGACTTCGGGGGCCGAAGACGCAAACGAGACTTGAACATCGGGGCCATCTGCCAGAATATCTCCCTAGCCCGAACGAGTGTATCTTTGGGAGAAGCCTCTGATCAATCTCATGTACCGCACTGCAGCAGAGCCTGTGGGACAACTCGTGCTGGGAAGTCCACGTGGGATGGGAACCTGGGAGGGCGAGGCAGCGGGGATCTGGTCGAGATGGTGGCGACGATGGGGATATGGTCAGATGGCGCCCATGCCTGAACAGCGTGCCCGACGGTGTTGACGGCGATCAGAGGATCAGGCAGGACGGGGGCAGAGAAAGAGAGAGAGAGAGAGAGAGAAAGAAAGAGAGAGGTGTGTATGCGATCGAGAAGGGCTGCGCCACGTACCACGCCTGCAACTATATCCTTCCCGGTCGGATCAGGTTGGCACACACACACACACCCCAAAAAACCCACATTCCGACGCGAAGGAACCTGTCCGCTGCCGACCTCCAGCCAACCAGGTCCCATCCGTCCTAAACCTGCCTTCGCCAATCTCAGTGAACCCCCAGTTCTCGGCCACGGCGCGCATCGCATGAGCAGCGGATGGGAAAATGGCCTGAATCAGATTTAAGCGCTTGCGATACATCCCAACAGTGTCCGCAATGATAAGTCAGTGCGCGAACAGAAACATGACATGCCCATTCCTTCCCGTCTGGTGCGATGCCATAATCCGCCATGGGGGAAACACGATGGGAAGTGCAAGTGTCAATCTGCGCCATCAGCTTACTTGACAATACCGCGGCACCACCCCCACCAGCAGATGGGTCAATCACAAAGTCATGTGACACTGCGTTCCGACATCGCTCATCACGCACGAATATCTCACAGGCAACACGCGTGCCATGCGTCTCCAGTAAACACGCCGCATCAAACTTGCCGACAAGCTGGGAAATCCGTACAGTCCGCGTGCCCGCAAGTGGCGAGGACGTAGCATAAGAACAGAAAAGGGCGCGAGTATTCCAAGTGCAGGCAAAAAGAGAAGAGTATACAGAGAAGGCGCCATTCGTTCCCGAGGCGGGGTCGCCAAGTGTGAACCCACTTCCCGAATTCAGATCAAAACTACGTTTTGCTGGCTGATCCCCGCTCCCTCTGGCTAACTGACGGCAAGCAAATTCTGGGCCCCGCCCCAGGCGACTCGCCTGCCGAAGGGGGGCCAGGGACCAGAGGAAAGCGGAAATAAGCTAGACGGGGTGCCCGAGGTCCCAGGGCAGGAAGCTCCAGGACAGCTAAGCTCCTCACGCAAGGTGGCGAATTTGGTCAAAACGCGTCTGGATGCAGGCCGCGTGGGCCTCCTTACCAGGCTGCTCAGGCCGTGAGGGATCAAGCAGGAGGGCTGGTGCGCCGTTCTCAGAGATCGTCACCTTCGCCGCTGCAACTGGGTGCGCAGGGGTGAGAAGACCATGAACCTGCCCTTCAAGACCACAGCTTCCGACTGTACACTCACCCAAGACTTTGCCACTGATGACCCTGCCGCGTCCAAGGTCGTGGGGAAGTTTCTGGCTGGCGGGGGGGGGTCGCGACGAACCCGAAGCTCCCAACCAAAACCATCGATCGGGTTCTGGTACACCGTCCCCCCCAATGTTCTGGCTCTTCCCGAAGAATGCTGAACGCGCGAGGGTGGATGAGAAGTCAAGTGTCACCTTCCTAGTCAGCGAGAGCGCGCGCGCGACCATGTCCACTCCCATGGGGCAGCCCTGTTCAATGATGGGTTGGGCAACCTCCTTCAGCGAGGCCTCGAGGAGTGGCTTTTCGAAACCGAAAAAGATGAGGCAAGCGGCGCCTGCTCGGTCAGATCTTGAAGTCTTCAGGAACTTCCGGCGACCCCCTTCTTCACCTCCCCCACGATCTCGATATCCGAGTCAGCGCGGGTCGACGAGCCTGACGATGACACAGCTCTAAGATCATTGAACTACGACTTGATATCCTCAGACATGGACCTGGGCTCAGTGTCAGTGTCGATCACTACCTGGTGACTGGCCTGGTCCTAGACGCGTTTGTCATATGCGAAATGCTCCTCCTGGCGCAGTGCCATTTTTGCAAGCCCATCTTGCATGCGATCGAACTTGCTACCATGGGTAGTCATCTTGCTCCTGCACAATGCAAACTCTGCTGCGTGAATCGTGCATCCCCGACGAACGAGATCCTGGGGGCTCGAGGTCTGGGGCGCCAGCGAATTGGCGTCGTCGGAATGTGCGCGCGGGCTGCAGGGAGGAGATGATTAGCTTGACGCTGTGATCACTTCGTCGGGCGGCGTCGCTGGAGCAGCCGCTCCCGCCATGGCTGGGGACGGGGGCCGAAGGGGGGGGGGGGCGGTCGCGGCGGGCCGCGGCGGGGCTGGGGCAGGGAAACCCGAGGAGCGGGTCTGCGGGGGCGCCAGGCCGAGCGGGTCTCGCAGACCATCCTAAGCCGATGCGGATTGCGCCAGAATGGCCGCGGCGGAGGAGGAGGAGGAAGAGGAGGAGGGGGAGGAGGAGGAGGAGGAGGAGGAGGAGGAGGAGGAGGAGGAGGAGGAGGGGGAGGAGATGGAGGAGGAGGAGGAGGGAGGATGGTGGGAGGGAGGGGAGGAGAGGAGGAGGAGGAGGAGGAGGAGGAGGGAGGAGGAGAGGAGGAGGAGGAGGGGGAGGAGGAGGAGGAGGAGGAGGAGGAGGAGAGGGAGGGGGGAGAGGGAGGGGGAGAGGGAAGAGGGGGCGCACCGCGCGGAAGAGCCCCTGTCACACCAACGGCAACGGCAACTGCCCTGCTTGGGCCTCCAGGCTCTGGCCACTCCCCGCGGCCACCGCGGGATCCTCTCGTCTGCTCCTCCTCGTGGGCCTCCCATATGCGGGCGCGGGAGGCAGAAAACGAGCAGACGGGGCGAGCGTCCCTCGCCCGCGTGGAAGAAGCCCACCGCCCCGCCCGAGATCCCCCCCCCGCGAAGCCGGAACGACGCCGCCCGTCCGCTGGAGGGGCCTGGCGGGTGGCAAGGGCGACCAATGCCGACGGCGGACGGACGGACACCACGTCGAGCAAGGCTAGGCCCCGGAAGGCTGGTCGGTCATCGCCGCGGCGCTCAGTCGTCGTTCAAGCAGAACTCCGGCAGCGGCTGGCGCGAAAGCGAACGGCGATCGACACTATCCGGATCATCGCGCCCTAGTAGGTACTTCGGACATCGCTGCGTACGGGTGTTCGGTGCCCACCTCACGAGCCAAGTCTTCAAGGCTGCCCAAACCCAGCTGGGGGGCTGAGTCTAGAGGAAGGCGCCAACTCTTTCCGAATGCCCCCCCAAGCCGAAGGTCCCCCAAAACCGCTTGGCCACCCTCCTTCGGGCACGCTCCTGAAACTCATCTTTGGGCACGTGCTCGGCTATGGATGCCTCGCAAACCATCTGCCGCTTGAGGCGAACCCCATGGACTCAAGGCCCCAACTCTCCAACTCCTGCTGCTCCCCGCCCACAGCTTTGGGTCATCGGGGAAGCTCGACGCGCTCTTTTCACAGGGCGCTGAGACGCAAGGCATCTTCCAGAATGGCGGTGCAAAAAGGT